AATTTAATTTATTTTAAATTTAAATATTTAATAATTTTAAAAATGTGAAATAATGAATGTATTTAATTATTTTACAACTATATTATAAATAAAATTTTATTCTTTTTTATAATATTTATAATTTTATAAAAAATTATTTTGAATATTTTCTATGATTTAATACAAAGTTATTGGAAGTGGAAGTGAAAAAATGTAATTTTATTGGTTTCTTTATTTTAAAAAATGTGGAATTTTTGTTTTGTCGTTAATTTGATGTTCATTGATGATTAAATTTTGAGATTGTCCGATGATTTGTTACTACTTTAAATGACAAGATATTTAATGATGCAATATATAAAAATAAGAATTTTAAAAATATGAAAAATATTTTTATTTTAAAATTCTTATTTTTATTACTTAATTATCATTAAATATTAAAACTTAATTATTCATAGATATCAAATTAATGAGAGGACTAAATTTTGTTATTTTTAAAATTAGAGAGACTAAATACTATTATTTTAAAATAAAACGACAAAAATTACATATTGATAAAATTAGAAGAGTCAAAAGTGCAATTTAACCACAATTTTAAGCAAACAAGAGTTTAAAATTTCCTTAAAAAAATATTACAAAATAGTATTATGGTAATATTTTAAAATTTATCCAGAATTTTTCATTTACATATTTTATTTTTATTAGAAAATAAGTTTTTATAAAATTTTTGTTGTAATTATAATATCAAATATTACAAAATAATATTATAAAAATGAAAAATTTTAAAATATTTCTTGAACAAAATGGTTTCTTTTATTTACATATTTTTATTTTTATTAACAAACAAGTTTTTATAAAATTTTCATTATAATTATAATATCAAATATTACAAAATAATATTATAAAATGAAAAATATTAAAAACATTTTTTGAACAAAAAGATTTCTTAAATTAACCATGTTTTTTTTATAATATTATAGAATAGTATTTTAATCAGATATATTTTTTAAAAGTGAAACTACGAAGAAAATAAGTGAAAAGACACTTTTGAGATGAAAATAAAAGAATAAGAGATTGACATTTTTTTATCTATATTTATTTTAAAAACAAAATTAATAATTAGTATAACTAATATTTTATTATGCCTTTACGATTTTTTATATTATATTAATTTTTAAAACTTAATTATGTTTTTAGTTTTTTAAATTTGAGGTATGTATTTCTTTGTCTCTAGAATATAATTTTTTTTTATTATTTTGATCCCTCAAATTTAAAGTTTATCTTTCTATAATTTTCATAACTTTTAAGAAATATTGTTTTAGTTATTGCATATATTTTTTTATCCCTTAAATTTAAAACATGTATGTTTTTTTCTCAAGATATAAAATTTTATTATTTTTGTCCATATGTTCAAATGTTATAAATCAATTTATCAAATATAACTATTTTACTAATGTAATCATTATAAAAATATAATATTAGTCTAATTAATATTATAATTTTTTTATTCGTTTCTATCAATTATACTATCAAGTGATAATGAGAAATTAAAATAATATTTTTTGAAATTACATAAAGTGAAATAACACATTTTACATTTTCAAAACTAAAATATTAATTTTTATGTTTTTGAGGAAAAAAAACATGTTTTAAATTTGAGAGACAATATATATATATATATATATATATATATATATAAATTAAAATAATATTTTAAAATTATAAAGATAAAAAATATAAATTTTAAATTTTTATAAAAAGTAATTATTTCAAAATTTAAAGGATTAAAACCATAATTAAACTTATTTTTTTTATATTTATCGTAGCATCACTTGTAATTAATATAGTTTCAGATAAACTCTAAGTGTGTGGTTTAGCGGTAGGGGTTGATTCACGCTTAAGAAAAAAAATATTATAAAAATATATTTTCAGATTATATTGAAATTAGTATTTTGAATGAGAAATTTTGGAGAAATATTTATGCAACAATTATTATTTTTTTTTTACGTAAACTTCGGTTACAATGTCCTATACATGAAATTTTATTTATTTGGATTTTTTTAAAAGAAATTTAGTGTAATTTTATACAGTTTTAGTTTTATATAATTAACGTTTATTTTTTTGTGGGAATTCTCGTAGGTAAACAATACTTTTAAGTTTTTCCCTTTAAATTTTGTTAATTTATTTTGAAAAATGTCAATAATTAATGACTAATGAAATTAATATTTTATTTATTATGCCTTTACAGTTTTAATTTTTTATAATTATTTTTTTAAAATCTCAGAGAGAAATAATGTTTCAGAAGTTGATTAAAAAGAAATAATTCTTCAAAAGTTATTTGTTTTTTATTATTTATATTTATTTTGAAACTGCCTATAACTTATTAAAAAAAATTATTATGTTGTTATAATTTAAATTTTCAATAATTAGCTTTTTTATATAAATTTTCATTATAATTTATTATATAGAAAATATTTTTCACGTGAATTTTATGAAAGAAATTTTAACATAATTTTTCTTATTTATATTACATAATAAAAATTATTAATGACAAAATTTTTCGCTTTAATATTGCATGTAAATATTATATAAAAAATTATTATTAAATACAAATATTATAAGAAAAAGAAATTATTGCGAGAAGAATTTACGACAAACTTGTCATACACGCAACATAACAAGTAACTTTAGTAATTTAACTCCTATCTTTTCTATCGTTGTTTTTATCAGAGAAAATGTGAATTCAAATTACTTAATTTTTTTTTTCTTTTTTACAATCAAATTATTTCTCTCTGTTTTCATGTAAGCTTTTATTTATAACCTCAACCGTGTAGTAAGTTTAACAGTAGGGGTTGATCCACGCTTAAGTAAAGTTAGAAGTTTAAATCCTGCATTGTGTATGTAGTCGCGTTAAATATTGGGATCAGCTATCCCACTGTTTGAGGTGCCTCAAAGTGACGAACTAAAAAAAAATGTAAGGTTTTATTTATTTTTCAGTTTTCCTTATTTAAAAAAGAAAAAAAGATTATATTAGAAGACAAATTATTTACCAATGTTTTATACATTTTAATGAAAGTTTATCTAAAACACAAAAATGTTATTTTGGTTTGTACTTAACTTGGATCCTTCCAAGTTCAAACAGTTTGTGTAAGTTGCTGCGCAAAGACGAGGAAAGTGGAAAAAAGCAAATATAAATAAACAGAGAAACAAGAAGCCATCCATCTTCCTTCTCTTCATCACAATCCTTGCATACTTCAACTTGGATTCCATCTAGCCATGGCGGATCTGTTCAGCGGAGGCGCAGTGGGCGCAGTCATGGGCGAGTTGCTAAAAGGCGCCATCGCCACCATAAACAAGGGTCGCGAATTCCATCCCACTCTCGAGAGCAACATAGAAACCCTAAACTCTCTTGCTCCACTCGTGGAAGAGATGAAACGTTACAACGAGATGTTGGATCGGCCAATAGCAGAGATAGGCAGGTTGGAGAGTCGCATACGCGACGGTCAACAGTTGGTCAACAAGTGTTCAAAATTCAGCCTCTGGAGAGCGCTCTCTTTTCCGTACTACCAGGGGAAGCTTCGGAGCAAGGACGAGGCTCTGAAGAGGCACTTGTCGATACAAGCGACGGCGGAGAACAAGAGGGACTTGATGGAGGTGGTTTTCAGCGTCAGGAAGATTCTGGAGATTCTGCTGAACAAGGAGGGTATCGGGGACTATCCTGGTGGGTATGAGTTGAGGGGGCTGAGAGGGGCTCCGGAAGAGCCCGAGTGTATGGGAATGGACGAGCCTTTGAGCAAGCTGAGGAGTGACCTGCTCAAGGATGGTGTGTCCGTGATGGTGTTGACTGGTTTGGGTGGATCCGGGAAAAGCACTCTGGCTAAGAAGATATGTTGGGACGCTCAGGTCAGAGGTAACTAACTAGCTAACTCTCTTTTCTCTTTTTTTGTCATGCCCCTATGTTAAGACTGTTTGAATTGGTGAAGAAAGATGTGTTGGGTCAGTAATATGGCGAAAATTGAGTATTCGAGGCAGGAGTAATCTTCAACTTATAAGTCAAGTTTTGTTTTTGTAGGGTTGAGTTAGGTTTATAATTTATTTTCCTGGTATGATATCAGAACCAATCAGTAACTCATTGATTTTAAGGATAATACAGTACGACTCTTATTTTTTTCTTTTCCTCCCTAAATTTATAATTTGTACCCAATGCTCTAAATTTCTGAATTTTTGTCTTTTATTGGTTAGTTTATTTTCTATACTATGGTCTCTTCTTGACTTAATGAGTAATGAGTGTTTCTCTCTTTTTTTATGTAATATTTATGATTTTATTTTCATATATAATAATAGTTATTTTTTAAATAATTGGCCCCTATTGACGCAAAGTCTTAAGTCTGCCATTGTTGTTGAACCAGTCCTCAGCGCTAGAGAGTAGAGGGTTTATGTTGGAGATCAATATAATGTTCCATCAACTTTTTAAACTACTGTTGAGGTCGTGTTTTAGTTGTAATACTTGATATTGTGAGAAATTTCAGATAAATATGGGCAATGTAGCTACAATTGGAATCGTGTTACGGTCGCAAAGAACCGAAAAACCTTGATGTTGCGGCAGTTGTTGTGGTTGCGGACTTTTTTCGAAATCTTGGTTTTGTACTCATTGATCCGAGGTTTTGAATTGCAGTCACGCTTGCAGATTCAAAATCCTTGGATGTTTTATTTTTGAACTGTTTTTTAAAACCTTGGATGGAACCTGTTCCGTCCTATTCCATTGTTTACCCGCATTTTTTGTTTTCTTCCAATTTTAGAGGAAGGAGATGAAATGAAAATTTTGTTTTGTTTTAACTTAAAATATATGTAAACAATGGACGTTTTATCACGTTATGTTGCATTTCACTTGACTCCATTTTAATACATTTCATTTCATTCCATTTATTTTCATCAATTTAATCATGGAGTCCGTGTTTGATTTGTTTTATTTTTGCTTGTAGTAGTTGTACAGTATTGAGTTTAGAGAGACCTTAGGCAGAGTGATTCTTCTTCCCTTCCATTGCATTCATTGTTTCTTGGTCAACCCTGTTTTTTTTGGAGATTAAAACGCACTCTTTTTGTGTACATCTTATTATTCATCATATGCTATATCATTAATCTAAATTATTACTTTCCAAGTCTAGTGAAACCACTAGCTAGTATAGTGATGTGTGGCATGCATTGTGGAATATTATCTGAGATTCTCTTTGGTTTAGAAATCTATTTTGCTTTGACCAGACAAGTTTGGGGGAAACATCTTCTTTGTCACCGTCTCAAGAACGCCCAACTTGAAGACCATTGTAGAGACACTGATTGAATACTGTGGATGTCGGGTGCCTGACTTTCAAAGCGATGAAGATGCAATTAACCGATTGGGAATTCTGCTGAGGCGTGTGGGGAAAAATCCAATATTGTTGGTCTTGGATGATGTTTGGCCTAGCTCAGAAGCCCTTATTGAGAAGTTCAAAATCCAAATACCTGATTATAAGATTTTGGTGACTTCAAGGGTTGCATTTCCAAGATTTGGGACCCCATGCCAGTTGGATAGACTTGATCATGATCATGCAGTAGCCCTTTTCTGTCACTTTGCACAGCCGAATGACGGGGGATCATACAAGCCTGATCAAAATCTTGTAGACGAGGTGCTTCCTCTTCTATTTCTCAAAGTTTACGTTTGTTTGTCATGTTCTTCGTTCTGCATTAGAATATGGACAACCTAGTTACCATGTCTTTTTTATCTTATTCACTGATTTTGCCATGTTGCACTGAAAATAATGCAGATTGTGAGAGGTTGTAGGGGTTCACCTTTGGCGCTTAAGGTCACAGCTGGATCACTCTGTGGGCAGCCTTTCGAGGTGTGGCAAAACATGAAGGAGCGTCTACAAAGTCAACCCATTCTGGCACCTTTGCTTTGTCGTCTTCAACAAAGTTTAGATATATTGGAGAAAAAGTTTTCCATCGAAGAAAAGGTGTGCTTCATGGATCTAGGGCTATTTCCTGAAGACCAAAGGATCCCTGTTGCTGTCCTCATTGATATGTGGACAGAACTGTATAACCTTGATGAAGATGGCAAGAATGCAATGACCATCGTCCATGATTTAACCACCAGGAATTTGATTAATGTCATAGTTAGAAGGTACATGGCATTCCACCCTTTCTCCCTGTTGATCATCTAATGTTTCACTTGATTATAGGCACCCAAAATAATTTCTTACGATATTATGGCTTGAAATAGGGTTACGTATATGAATTAATGAAGTTAATAACTTAGGTTTCACTAGTGGAAAACGTGAGGCAACTCAAATCATTCCATTTTAGATTTAATAATACATGCACTAACAATATAGAGAGATTGTATAATGTCATCCTATCATAAATTGTTATGTATATTATATTGTTATGTATCTTTTTGCTTGTCATTATGAAGCAAGGAAATAAAATTGTTCATCTTATTGGGGTTTTGTTCTACCCTCCTTGTCCAGGAAAGTTGCAAATGATGCAGACATGTATTACAATAACCACTTCGTTATGCTGCATGATCTCCTTAGAGAGCTAGCAATCCATCAAAGCAAAGAGGAACCATTTGAACAGAGAGAAAGACTGATTATTGACTTAAATGGAGATAATCGTCCTGAATGGTGGGTAGGAAAGAATCAGCAAGGAAGCATTGGCCGTATGTTCTCATTCTTCCTCGGAATGTTGGTAGGACAGAAACAGCTCAGAGTCGCTGCCCGCATATTGTCGATTTCAACTGGTATGTTTCTCTTTCTAAAATCTAAATTATCATAAACTAATGAGAAATGCTACTCCCAGTTTCAAAATAATTGTCTTTTATTTGGGTATGTTTCTCAGGTTTTGAGTAGGAAAGGAATTTTTTTTCTCAAGTTGAGTCAAATAATGTTTAATAAAATAAGCAAAACTTAAGGAAATCAAGTTTATATGACCTATCATTTTATTTCTTCATTTAAAAAAAGTTAAAATACTTTTTTGGTCCCTGTAATTTCACATACTTTATCTTTTATTCTCTATGATTTAAAATAAATCTTTAGTCCCTATGCTTATCTTTTTCAATCCTTATAATTTAATGTAGATATTTTTATTTCCTATACTTGTAGTTTTGTAATCTTTTTAGTTTTTGTAGTTAATTTTTTTGTATCATTTTCTCTTTTGTATTGATGTAACAGAAGTATCAATTCAACTTTGTATGTCTAATATCTAATTTATTTTGCTAAAGTTACTCCAACTTGACAAAATTGAAAATTTCTATCACGTCAACACAAAATAGATAACGTTAACAAAGATCTATATTAAATTATAGAGGCTAAAAAATGATTGAAAAAAATAAGTATAAAAACTAAAAAAAATTATTTTAAATTATAGGGATTAAAAAGTAAAGTAAGTGAAACCGTAGAGACCAAAAAAGGATTTTAACCATAAAAAAAAAATCAAGGAATATTTATTTGAGTTTAATTTTTATACTTTGGTTGTAAAAATTTACACCATCAATCAATCAGAATTCATCATTAGTATTTGATTATTAAAGTACTTATTGTACAAGTCAACATCTTTCTTTTTGTGATTGGATCATAGTGTAAAAAATCTTTCACATTATCAATGGATAGACTATTTGCCCATATTTATTAGAAATAAAAAATTTACCCTCCTTTTCTTTCTCCTTCAAAAGGAATATGATTAAAAGAAGTCATCAAGTATTCTTTATTTCGAATGAATATAAATTAGTTTGACTGCATTATCCTTTTGCTCCATTAAAGTGCTTTCATTCTACTCAAACGAGGATTGAGATGTCAAGAGATAAGAATAGTAATTATTGCATTCTTAGATGTATAAAAATATTTTAGAAAAAGGAAATACTATTTTGAAAACGGAGGGATTAATAAGAAATACTCCTGTACTATCCTATTTCATCTTCCATTGTTGATGTCAAACATGATGCTTTTGCAGATGAAACGTTTACTTCAGATTGGTGTGACATGCAACCTGACGAAGCTGAGGTTCTGATTTTAAATCTTCACTCTAACCGGTACTCATTACCTGATTTCACAGAGAAGATGAGTAAACTTAAAGCTCTGATAGTCACAAACTATGGTTTCCATCGTTCTGAAATAAATAAGTTTGAGCTACTTGGCTCTTTATCTAACTTGAAAAGAATCAGATTGGAAAAGGTTTCAGTCCCTTCCCTGTGCATGCTGAAGAATCTGCGAAAATTGTCCCTTCGTATGTGCAACACAAGGCAGGCTTTTGAAAGCGGTTCTATCCAAATCTCAGATGCAATGCCAAATCTAGTGGAGATAAGCATGGACTATTGCAATGATCTGGTTAAATTGCCTGATGGGCTGTGTAGCATTACCCCATTAAAGAAGCTTAGTATCACTAACTGTCACAAGCTTTCTGCACTGCCACAAGATATTGCAAAGCTGGAGAATTTGGAAGTGTTAAGGTTATGCTCCTGCTCTGCTTTGATAGAGATGCCAGATTCTGTTGAAGGGCTTAACAAGCTAAGCTGTCTTGACATCTCAGACTGTGTTAGTCTTACCAAATTACCAGCTGACATTGGTGAGTTGACCAAGCTTGAGAAGCTCTACTTGAAGGGTTGCTCAAAACTGAATGAATTGCCATACTGTGTCGTTAATTTTGGAAATTTAAAGCATTCAATATGTGTGATCTGTGACGAAGAAACGGCTGCCCTTTGGGAAAATTTCCCCCCCATTCCCAAGTTGAAGATAGAGATATCCCAAGTGGAGATTAATTTAAATTGGCTTTCTGGAGTTCATTCCTGAAATTGATAGCGACTCGGAATCATGTTGATATTGGACAACGATGTTAATGTACATAGAATAAAAAGAAAGCAAGAATTTGTGTTGGGTGATTCTGTAAATGTAAGACATCAATGTGGCTTGAAAGAACATTTCATATGTAATATTAGCATGCTCGCTTATGTTTATGTGATCATCTAGCTTAGGGTTATTAATGGTATCTTGTGTGTTTTGTTGCTTTGGCAGGAGTTACCAAGATCAATTCTAACATTTCAGCTTCGCTAGCTCATGAGGAGCACTCGCCATTTTCTTCTATTCCAACATGCATAGATTCCTTTTTGTGATACATGTTGAACAATAGGGATCATTATCAATCAACATCAAGAAGTCAAATTAAATATAATCTCAAACAGAAAACATAAAGGTGTGAAGTAAGAAAACAAATGAATATACAATATTTAAAGGCTGCAAACTTTAACGAACGTAAAAAAAAAAAAAAAAAGTGAACCTATAACCCAAAACAAAAACAGGAGACTCAAAACGATGCCTTTTGAAGAAAAAGGATTATGATTAAAAAAAATAATTAAAAATAAAGGGGAAAATATGGGTAGGAATTAGGAAACATTCAGACCCAACCTATCTCCCTATGTGCTATGTACAGCTGAGTGGCTGAAGAACTAACCGGTGACCTTAACAGGAGAAAGGGAAAGGAGTAGGGAGAGAGAGAGACGAAGAGAAAGAGATAGGAGAAGCAGGTTCAAGGGAACTACGGAAATGAAACAAATGAGGTGGAGAGGTTGGTGGGTTTGCAACAACAGTGGAGGAAGGGGGAAACAATTTAGTACGATGGGTATAATGTATAAATATGTTATTGAAATAAATATAATGGCTATTAAAATTTTTTCACATTAGATCATTTGTCAAGATCGTCCACCATAGCTTTTGTTTAAATCCAATGGTTCTTACTATTTTGACCATGATACACCACTTATTTCCTGTAGCTGCGCTCTAAACTTAACGAAAATAAACCATGGAAGCATTTGAAATAGTTTATTTAAATTTATAAAAGTAATATATGATTATTTATAAGATCTAATTAACATATTTGAATAAATTTTCATTTGATAAAAAAATGTAGAATAAAAACTCAAGTAAATTGGTTGTGCGACTGTACCCGAAAATATTCTACACGTGAACAAGAGGTAGAATGACATATTTTTGCATACTCATAAAAATACCATTTGGAAGAAGGCAAGAATAAAAGGAATCGAAATATATACGCCAAATACAACGAGACGAATAACAGAAGTACTGCTTCAGAAAACAAAATTCTAAGGCCGTCCACCCCATTCTAGTACAATATTGTAGACTCGTCTGGGAATTGTATTTGTCACATCCTTTCTAGTTGTATTCACAGCTTCGTTAATTGCATTGTTGCATTGCAGCATATGAGGACAAGAGGTACAACAATGCTCCAACGGAAATAAGCAAAAAACTGAAATGGTGAACAGGGACGAGATGTGCTAGATCACAGGATAAACACAAGAACTCCTAGAGTACATAGGCAGGTATATTCAAACAAGAATCCCGACACCAATTTAACTGACATAAGACAACAAAAGGCTAATGTATATATATGATATAAACCAAGTATTCAACAGGAAATGAGGGAAGGGTCATTACCAATTCTCAGCCCCCAACCCTTGAGACGCGTTTTCCTCCCCTAGGCAGTTTCAAGAAACATACAACATCAATACATGATGAACTTTGTGTATCATCCAATTTACAGAAAATATAGTCTCCACACATTTCTCTTTCTTTGATGCTGAGGAGGCCATAATGTTGAATATTAAGATGCTGTCCTTTCAAGTTTCAATATGCTGTCTCTAAAATGCAGACGGTGATTAAATTATATGGCATACACTATCTCCCCACTGCTATCTACATCAAGTTCAAAGTCAGAGTCTAATTCATCCATGTCATCATCTATCATGTTATCAGCCATAAACTGATCTAAAGAATAGGCTCCCGGGGCTGGTAAGGTAGCTTCTGAAATTATCTGCATGATCGTATCATTGCTCTGTATTGGTTGATCTGACTCTTCAAATTGGTTTCCCATGATCTTTTCATCCATCAAGTGCGGAGGAAGATTCTTCAGAAACCATTTGTTTCTCAATATTTCAGGAATAGTGATTCTCTGTCAAATTAATGTCCAAAGGCATAAGGTTCAAATAAATCCAGAAAGTAGCAAGAGTGGAAGTTAATCCCAACCTTATACAATCAAGAGGTTTGGTTCATAATATCCAAGCAACAATTTTTCCTGCTTTCTATAATCAAAATTTGTTATTTTATAGTATCGAATGCAGCTGTGCCTACAATATTCTTATCAATGCTAGATCTACAATCTAAGCAGCGTAGGACCTATGAAAGGATAATATTAAGATATGTCAAAACAGTAGATATTCCTATGTGATGCTAGATATAAAACCTAAGTGCCTCAGGACCTAGAAAATGTGAAAGGCTATTTTATATGTATATATTTGCATCAAGGCAGATGCCAAACATGAAGGTTCTCCTTCAACAATCCAGCTCATATAGTGCTTGAGCTGCGAATAAAAAAAAAGGAAAATATTTAACAACACTTCCAAGTGGGAGGCTGATAGTGGAAGTATACAAAAATGCCTCTATAGAACAAACTCCTCACGAATTGTAGTGTGTTTCAAATTGTATATACGCAGAAGCAGGTGATTTATTATAAAATAGAAATTACCTCTGCTGGGTCAAAAACAAAGATCCTTGAGATAAGGTGGCGACACTCGGGAGATATCTGAACAAAGTCGGGAATGGAATACTGGACACTGAAAACCCTCTGCAAGGAACCAACCAAAACAGGTTGTGCTCACGCAACCAGAGGCTTGTAAAGAAAAGATGCAAATATCTTAAATATCAGATCAACCTGAATTGTCTTCCGGAAATCCCTTGGATCATTAGGATCTTCAAAAGGATATGAGCCCACTAGCATCACATATAAGGTTACTCCACATGACCAGACATCTGCAATCTGATATTATGTGCATGTGCATGACACCCAAAAAAAATCCATTAAGATAACCAACAAACATGCTACTAGCAAAATTAAAAAGTCAAATCAGTGCAATCCAATTGCACACAGGTGGGGACTCATCACTCAAGATTACACACTTATCTATAGGAGAACAAAATTTGAAGAGAAACATGAATTAGTTTTCTCTCATAAGCCAACATTAGTTTATGTATAAATTAAAATTATTTTTTGAAGAAGTTAAAGTAAAAGAGTTTCTACAAATTATCTTATATATAAGTTAATTTTAGTTTATGGCTTATGGAAGAAATGTATTTTATTTCTTCTGTTGTAAGTGTTTATTAAGAACTTTATCAAAAGAGGCCTAATTTTACTACTAAATTAAATTAAGAAGTTCATTTTTTTATTAATCTATCAACAAAAATCTTAATAAGCTATGGACCTTTTCAAGTTTTTAGAACAAAAAGATGCAGGACCGAAAATTATCTCCTGCTCTTCTATAATTCATAAAAGTAGTTTTAAATATATATGGTAAAGTAAGTTAAGAAGTTCAATTAGTGCCAAGAAGACATGAACTACGTGTAGATGACAACCAGAAAATAAACCATCATTTTTTAGAGACGAGGCAAAAATTCACATTGGAGTCAGTGATGACAGATTGATCATTGTAAAAAAAAAAAATGCTTTAGCTCCTTATTCCAGGATAAGTCAATATAAACAAATATTTGCTATCAAATTATGAGATTAATAAAGAAAAAGAGCAAGACTGAGATTAATATAATGCTACCTTGCCATCATACTCTTGCTTCAGCAATACTTCTGGAGCAATATATGCTGGAGTTCCCACAGTTGAGTTAGGTTGTGAATGAAGCACTGAAGACTGCCAATAACAAAATCAATTAGATGAGTAAGATATAGCAGTTGACCAAAACAACTCAAATTATTTAAAATAAAATAGAATACAATGGTGATCTATACTTGCGAAGTCCTGAACTAGATTGAAAAATGAATATATAAGTCTTATAAGCCAGAAAGAAATTGAATTAACAAATAAAAAGAATGTAATAAATATCCAACTATTTGAGGTGTCATTGCATGTAAACAGGAAGGTCTATTTTAATTACAAACTACCCTAAAATACACAAAAATTACTAGTTGAATTGTCTTAACAACACCACAAAGGTGTGCAACAACTAAATGATCATATGCCTCAATAGCACCAGGAAACATTTCATAGTTTTTCGTTGTTCCCCTGTATGCGAAACATTGAAACATAAATACAAGAAAGTTAACCAATCAAAACAGACCAATGCAAATGACAATGATCAACTGAAATTAAAATTTGACTCCTCTAAGATGGATTATGACCTTATCATGAAAGTTTTTCATCAAGGGAAAAACATGTCAGACAACCTAACATGCTCAATGATATGATTCCAGAAATAAGAACTGGTAAGAGAATTTTATTGAGAACCACAAGAGGAGCCTGATCTCTTTACAACCTGAAAGTTTTTCTTTTTCCTCTCTCTAAAACAAAACAACCTGCAAACTTATCATTCTCCTAATTCTCTCCCTCACTAGTTTCCCTCCTTTTCCTCATCGGTGAATATCATTTACCAGGGTGGAGACTTATTTCGAGGTTCAAAATAAGAGAATTTTATTAAAAACCAGAGCATCAAAATAAGAGAATTTTATTAAGAATTTTATTATTAACAACCGGCAGAGCATCAAATCCTAAGAGAATAAGAATTATTCTCTCTCAAACAAAACAAACATGCAAAACTAACTTCCACTATTCCTCCCTTTCCCTATATTTACCCTACACCCCTAACCAACCTGTCAAATGTCAACTCATCATTCTCTTAATTTTCTCTTTCACTGGTTTTGCTGTTCGTATGAACAAGTATTTTCCAAATCCTGAGCCTTTCAGAATTCAAGCCCTCCTTCTGGTCTACCACTGGCACTCTATCACTTAGACTTCGGACGAGCCAAATTCTAATGAATGGGTCAAGCACAACTTTAAATAGTTCAAATCATCAAAATTTGCAATTAATAGTCATGTACAATGGTCCTTTTCCATAAAAAAAATTACTAAAAGCATCTTTAAGTAGCTTAAGGAATTAGTTACCCAAGTCCAATACAGTAGTCTATGTTTGTAGAGCAAAATAGCTTCATAATAAAACTAGATAACAACCCGATGGAGGAAGTATTTGCAGATATGCTAGTTTTCAAAGGAGCCTGAATTGCTATTACAAAGGTAAAATTAAATTTATGACAAAAGCATCACTTAAAGGTTAGGTAAACTTACTGAAACAGCACATACACATCCCAGTACAATATATAAGCATGGAACTCACACCATGAAAAGCTTGTGATAAAGAAACAGTTACCTTGGAGTAACCAAAATCACATATCTTCAGATGGACTGCAGGCGTTCCATCTAACAAAGTGTTTTCCAACTTCAAGTCCCGGTGACACACTTCCTTCAGGAGGAGACATATTATGACACATAAGATTGATACATCAGACATAATACTCAGAAGAATGAAACTTTGCCTATCCGACATTCTGGCGTAGGTTAGATACAATATATATCAGATGGTGAGGGAGAAATTGATGAGTTACCATTGCATGACAATAGTTGACCCCAGATATGAGTTGTTGAAAGAAGAAACGAGCCTGTGGCATAACAATGAGTTAATAGATTACACAGGATTACAGGAAATAGATAACTAGAACAAATTTGTTCTGATTGAACAACAGGTGTAGCAAAAGAAACAAATTGTGTAAGAACCTCATCCTCATTAAATCGCCCTGCATTGCAGATTCGCGCAAATAGTTCTCCTCCAGATGCATATTCCATTACAATGGCCAGATGAGTAGGTGTTAATATGACCTGAGTGAAATGTCATGGAACATTTTCCATAAAAATTATTATTCCTCCTCTGAATATAAAAATACAGAAATATAAAATATACCGACCTCCTTAAACCTGATAATGTTAGGATGTCTTAGAGACCTGTGATTAATGATTTCTCTTTTAACATTTGCATCAATCTGCGACAGATTATAGCAAAAAGATTAGTCCAGTGCTTCATCAACAAGAATTAGAAAGAAAGTGGAAACAAACATTATGCAATAAAAGTCAATCTAAAAATTCATACTTGAATCAAAAGTGTGATTTAGATTAGAACAGCAAAAAAAAAATAAAAAAAATTCTTTGCTTCCCTATTTCTTTAGTGAATCTGTAAGCCTAAAATTTACTTAAACCACACAATCTGGATTCGCCACCTGAAGCAGTCCATTTCACCACACACCTCATGCAAAATCCCTTCTTGGCTAAAAGCATAGACAAGGCAAAGGCCCACTTTACATTGTACTGAAATTTATTTTTTATTTAGAAGAATGGGGTAATTAAGGACTGAACAATAGACAACGTGATTATAGAAGCTTCACCGCCATGTCATTGAACCAACTATTCCAAGAGTTCAAGCTATTAGGTGAAAGCACGTGAATGTCTTAATCTAATATTACCTCAACAGCTTAAGCTCACACAAATGATTTTATCATCTTATGTCTCACTGCATAAACCCCACTCTTAATCTAGTGCACTAATCAGAATTCAGAACAACCAAAAACAAGCCAGACACACAATATGCACCACACCAGATCCCCACTTAAACTTTACAGCATCATTTCACCATTAAAACAATTAAGTCACTTTATTTCTTTCAACGGCCCCTCCTCATCAATCAAACTCAACCACCAGCAATTAAGTAAGTTCCAAACGTACTTATACTTATGTAGCAACACGAGTACAAGATTTTATTTTATTTATTCGAAAAATAATGACAACAGCAGAAGCCTGTTACAAAAAAAAAAAAAATAAGCTGGAAAATAAGCTGAATCGCCAACGGAAGACAAGAAAACCGAAAAAAGTGCATGATTAATTAACTACCATTCCCTCTTTCCGTTTTCCCTACGCATCATTAACCGAAAATTGGCCAGCTGAGCTACGCAAAATTTCCATATTCAGCAACCATATACGTCACCAAAACTAACCAAACAAACCGAAAGAAATTAACGGTATAAAACCTTCCACGAACACCGATACAAAAATAGAAACCCAAACACGGTACTACGAAGTAGCATCATACGTCAGCGTCTTTTTTATTTTTTTTTCTTTCTTGAGAAATGAGAAATAATGATTGAGTTTTGACCAACCTTATCTCCGCGTTCTATATACTTGACAGCAACCAGCTCTTGCGTTTGCTTATCCCTCATAAGCCTAGCGACGCCGAAATTTCCAGAGCCGATATCGCGGACGAAATCGTAGCGGTCGCTATCGTGCATGATCGGCATATCCATGGAAGCTCCGGTGGGCGGCTGATCCATCGGTGGTTGCGGATGCGAGAGAGATTCGGCGAGAGCAAGTGGGAACGACGTCGTTTGTGGATGACGCCGGTTAAGGTGGTTGCCTCGTAAGCCGCATTTTGCCCCTTTCTATTATTTATTGCTGAGATGGTGCGGCAACAATTTCCTCACTGTGTCCATTTATTATATTTAATTTAATTTTGGCACTGAAATTGAAATTGTTTGTTCATGGATGGGCTGAGATCAGTGGTTGGGCTGGTTGAGTGTTGTTATCAGGCCACGACCACTTGACTTGAGTCTTGAGAGGGTGCTGTAACACAAAACTCACACTAGGCTCCCTCGTTGGACCAGGTCCATTCTCTTTCCTGCTCAATGCAAGCTGATTCTCAACCATAGCCTTTTCATGTATTCAATTTTTTAAATACTCTCCATTTTTTTATAGTCCTTTTGTTAGTATTTTTTTTTTAATTGTCATTTTTCCTAAATTAATAATTTATTAATTTTTTTTATTTTTATCTTTGATAATTAATATATGTTTAATGAACAATGTCTCTATTCATTTTTCAATGTATCTATTTATTCTCTGACCACTTAAAAGGTATAACAGGAAAATAGGTAATAAATATTTTAAAAATTAAAATATCAATCATTTTCTTAATTCTTGTATTCATAAATATGTGATAAATGAAGTGATGTAAAAGAAAAATAATTAAAATCTTTTTTTTTTGTCTATTTCATTTTTAGTTATTGGAGTTAATACATTTAAATATCAATTAAATTATAATTTTAGTCTCTTATAGTATTTAATTTGTAATTTTTGTCTCTTAATTTTAAAGTTTTTATTTTCTTTGAGTTTGTTATGTGGGTAATTTGATATTATGAATGAACTTGAGCTTCTCTTTTTTTGTCTTGTTTTCTCTTATTATGTTTGAGGAGAGATAAAGAAAGTAGGGTACATTAATAAAAACACGAAAAGTGAGGAGAGTAGTACTTAAATAAACTTGGTAACAAGGAAAAATGAATTTTGATTTTTAAAGAAATAGAGGATAATGAAATTAAAAATAAATAATAATAATAAAAAAAAACACAAGCAAATTATTATTAGTGATAATTGACAACTTTCCATTACAACAGATTATTTCTTCAAAATTTGTATTGTTTTAACAAATTGGAGTTAAACTAATTGATTATCATACTTTTTAAATTGTTTATTATCTGTTATCACAAAATCAAGCGAATAAATAAAGAGATTCTTCAATTTAGTTGCATAATTAAGTGAATAAATAATCTTTAAGAATATATTGACTTTTATTCTTGAGATGCATTAATATTCTTAAATTTATATTTTATTTTAACCTATTTTTGTGTTAGCAATACTACAATAATACTTCTCCAATTGGAAGTTGAAGTTTTCAATTTTTTGTGATCTTGATCACAAAATATACTTTAGTGCAATAAAAATAAACAATTGTGCTTAGAATACTCAAGTTATATGTTAAAGACAGATTTCTTTTTCATACATCAAAGCTAGATAAAATAAATATTTGGTCTTTAAAGTCTACCAAAACATCTTATATAATATATAGTTACAACATATAGGGATTAACTTACCAAAACTTGTCTTGTTCATATATTATTTGTTTGTTATCATTAAATTTAAGAGATGGATTGCCTTAGACCTAACAAGGACTTTTTATCCTATTTGTTCTACTTTTTATGAGTTCTCTCTTTCTTTTCTCTTGGTTGATGACATCGATTGCCTATAGTAAGTTTTGCTTATTAGCTAGTTGATGACTTAGAGTAGTAGGTTTGTAAAAGATTGTTGCTGATTAGGGCAAAGACTAAATCAAAGGAAAAAATTTGTAGTATACTTGTGTGTTGTCTAATCATTTGCTAGTTTTAAATTGTTTATATTATATTATATTATATATATACATATTTATATTAACTTAACAATAAAATGCTTAATATATAGAAAAGCAAGATTTTGGACCCTACTAAAAACTAGAGGTGGGTAAATGAGTTGGATATACTTATTCTTGTTATTCTTGTTAGTTTTAATGATTATTATTGAAAGACAAATATAATATATAATCTGTTGATTCATATAAGTTTCCACAATTCACAATTTAATAGGCAATCCTTCAAACCAAAAATTAAATTTATATTTATAAAACGACAATAAAACTTAAAAACTAAATTATGATATTTTTTTAAAATTGTGATATATTATTTGTTAATAGTTGATAAAATTTAACAATATAATAAATATATTAATAAAGTACAAAAATTGATAAAAAGTGAAAATACTTAAAACAAGACAATAAAAAAACTGAATGATTATCTTTCCATGATAATTGTCTATCAAAAATCTCTAATCAATTAATTAAGTATTTAAGATATCAATAAATAAATTAAATATCAATTTTTATATATTAAATACACAATATTATTTTGTGTGTGAATATTCTTAATGATATTTTCAAAAACAATTATAAATTATTTTAATTATATATCTAATTTAATTTTTATTTATCATAATTATTTATAAAGTAAATTTTAATATTTTAAAATAATTTGTTAATAAATAAAATAATCTTATATTATAATATAAATTACTTATCATAAATTTAAAATACAATTTACGTATTTAAAAATTAAAAATATTTATTTTTCAAATTTTAAATATAATTTTATATTTATACATAGTATTTATTTATATATAATTTATTATTAAGTTTTAATTATATATAATAAAATTTTAACATCAACGTTCACATACTGAACAACTAGTTAAAAATAAATTCTATTAAGCACAATTATCCACTAATCAGTAGGCATGGCAATCTAACCTGTCCTCGTGGGCACCCGCCCGAACCCGTTCCGATTTAGATGGGGAAAATTCATGTTTATCGGGTTCGGGTTTTTCCCGATTGATGAAATCGGGGGTGTAGATGTTAATACTCACCCCGCCCCCATACCCACCCCGCCCCCATACGAAAAAAAAATAGGAGCGAGGGCGGGGAAACCCGAACCCCACCAAAGACTGGGATAGAAACCCAAATTTTATCCTCAACGGGTATCGAGACGGGGCGGGGACAGTTTAAATTTGCGAGAACGGAGGCGGGGAACGTAAAACCCGCCCCGCCCCCCGTTGCCATGCCTACTAACCAATTAACCTAAAAACAAATTCGCTAAACTCCTTGTAAAAAAAAAAAGCATATACTAGCTAAATTCCACGGTTATATGAATCCATGGCCGTACAGTTATATTAACAACCCTTTAATACACATATAAAATGAGGATTTTACTCCTCTAAAATAAATAATGGGAAGAGATTTCATTTTAAAAAATAAAGTGTGATAATAATTATTAATTAAAAAATTTAAAAAATATTATAATTATTTTTAAATTATATTATATAAATATATATTTATTTTTATTATATTTATTTATCGTTAAATTTTTAATTAATAATTATTAAACTTTAAATGTAACGTAGTAAGTATTTTAGAAGGCCATGGGTGATTTATTAGCTCGGAACGGGCGTTCTCAAACTGGAACGAGCCGTTCTAAACTACTAAATAGGCCTATGAATCTTGGATTGGAACGGGGCGTTCCAAAATGGTCATTGTGAGTTAAATCCAACTCCAGAACGGGTCGTTCTAGACGTGCCAGAACGGGTCGTTATGGTTTTAGAACGGGTCGTTCTGCATGTGAATTTTACATATGATGAAGGAGCCCATAACGGGCCGTTCCAGATTTAGAACGAGTCGTTCTGGCCACTTCAGACTTCTATAAATAGTGGTTGTGCAGTTGAGGAGAATGAGAGATTTTTATAGATGTTTTAGAGAGAATGACTCTGGACTAAGATGCTTGCTTTGGGTGGATTGAAGTTTCGGGTTGAGTTTCGGAAAGGAAATTCTACTTCTTCTCAAGTTCTTGGCTATTCTGAGTCAATCTTCAGGTAAGGAAAGTTAGATTGTATGTTGTTTGGTTGTATGGGAGTTTAGGAACTCATATGGAGTTATATAATTACATTGAGATGTATGGTGAGTAGAAAGTGAAATGAAGAGATGCATGTTGAGTATAGTGAAGTTGTTTACAAGTTGTGTGTTGATCTATGATATTGTTGAAGCATATTGAAATTAAGTTGATAAAGTTGCTATATGTTATGTGTTGACATGTTTATGTTGTGAAATATGATGAGATGATATAGTTGAAAGTTGTGAAGTGCATGTGATAATATTGTGAGTTGTGAGAAGCATGGTGTGAAGTGTGTAGATGTGTGTGATTTATATAGATGTTATTAGTAGACTATGTTGTTAAGTTGTTAGAAAAGAGCTGTATGTTGCTATAAAGTTGTATGTTGTGCCATGTGTTGAAAAATATTATTTTATGATGATTGAGTTGTAAATTATGAGTTGAGCTAATAAGCTGTTGAGTTGATTGTGCTGTTTAAAGTTGAAATGAGATGTTGTGTTGTTAAAATGTGTTGTTAAATAGCGTTGATGAGTTGTTGTGCTGATATACCATGTTGTTTAAGTTGAAAGTTGATTGAGATGATGAGTTGAAAAGTTGTACGTTGTTTAAGTTGTTGAGTTAAGCTGTGCTGTTGAGTTGTAAGTTGATTAAGCTGTGATGATGAGTTGTTGATCACTAAGATTAGGGGAGATGTTTTCAAAGTTGCTCATCCCATTGTGTGGATTGAGATAGTTGTGGTGTTCTAAGAACCCAATTTGTTGAAAAACCCTCCTTGGAAAGTTGTCCCTTAGAGTGGACGTTGTGTTGTTCTCCTCTAGGACTTAGTTGATCCCGTGTGTGGGCAAGGTCGAGGCACACGTGTACAATAGTAGGCTTATACCCAAACCCTTTTGTCTTCAAAGTAGTACTGGACCTCCGAGTCTAAGTGACACACCTAAGCAATCGCCTATTGTTGTCTATACCTGGTTCTCTTCGGAGTTCCTAACGATGTCCTATACCTGACCTGGTTGAGATAGGACAAACGCTAGATTCGGTAGGGTTTATGCCACCTAGATTGCTCAATCTCAGTTGTTGGAGATCTCCGAGTTAAAATGCGTGACAACGCATAAATTATTGATGAGTTGATTTGTTGTTGATATAAGTCGTATATATGTTGTTGTGTTGTTAAGTTATGATTGTATTGTATGTTGATCTTGTTGAGGATGATGATAGTGTTGTTATGTTGAAAGTTGCTTTTAAACATGTGTTGTTGAGAGATGTGTAATACATGTGTTGGTTGTTGTTACGATGAATATGATAACTATTCCAATGGTTTATACAATAGTTGCGTTGAAGTGTTGATACAACGTTGATATGTGGAATCAAGTTGAAATGATGTTAAGATGTATAATATATACGTTGTTTGTCTTATGTGTCAGATGCGAAGTTGATTATATAGTTGTTGTATTGCATATTAAATTATTATGAGTTGTTTATTGTCTCTAGTTTACCCTTGCATGTTTCCATGTGGTTTGGACTGCGATGATCATACGTTGTATGGGAGCATGGCAGAGATAGACTGGGAGATAGTTGCTAGAGGCCACAGGAAGTGCTTGGAGATGAATTTTTTTTTGTAGGCTACCTTATAGTAGCATATTTTGGTTATATATAACTAGTTGTTGTTGGTTGCTTGATTAACAACTTGTGTTGTAAATATTTTATTATATTATTCTAGTATATATTTTTCAGTAGTGTGTAGTGTTATTTTATAGTGTAACAACTACGGTGGGTCGTTACATTAAAAGTATTTTTTTCTTCACTTTAAAAGAGTCAATCTACAAAATAAAGAATGGATTTGTCTTGTCTTTTTTCTTCTGCATCTTCACCTCTCTTTTTTTTCCCCCAATATTTCTTTTCTTTTTTCTGGTCACGTTGTGCTTTTTATAGATTGAAAATTTTGTTCATCATAGCCTGCAGCAAGTTGCAATGGAAAAAGACGCATTACAATAAGGATTTTATGTGTGTCCAGTTTAGTTGAATTTAATTATGGTTGAAAAAAAAGTTATATTTACAGATTCTTTTTTTATATACATCAAAATATGTAGTTTTTTTTCTTAATTATAATTTTAAATTTAAATTGATTTTTAAACATGCGAGACTTTGACTCACTCGGATCCAAAAATATGTGCAACTTTACGTAGTGAGTCGGATTCAAGTGGTTCATTTTTATAATTCTCCCTTTATTAATTCATCCAAATAGACTCAATTTCAATTTTATTATTTATTTCATAAAGGAATTAATAAAAAAATATTCGTATTTTTTATAGACATAATAGCTCAAAATTAATAATTAAAAATTAATTTATATTTTATAACCGTGACTTCTGTAATCAAATATTATTTTAAAATTTTAATATAAGAAAGAATAAAATTTAAGAATACTAAATTAATTCTCCATGTCAATGAATTTTATAACTATTGAATTAAGAGATTTGATAAGATATTTATACCTCTAAAATTATATTAATTATGATTTTTTTAACATATATTCTTATGTTACTTACTAACTTATAAAAATAAACAAATACTTCATTGTTAGTCAAAACTTAAATACAAGTTTTCAGGGTGTTTTTACTTAAAGCTTTATTTTGATAATCCATCTAATGAGGATACACTTAGGATTAGACCCGCTATTAGGTAAAGATTCATTTATGATAATTTAATATATGATAGTACATAATTTTTTTTTGTCTTTTAAAGTATACTATATTTTCTCTCTTAAAAAAAAAGTATACCATAAAAAAATTGAATAATTTTCATTTAATAAAAAAATTGACTGTTGAAAAAATGTGTTTTAATAGAGTTAGGAGTGTTATTTTATAGTGTAACAACTACGGTGGGTCGTTACATTAAAAGTATTTTTTTCTTCACTTTAAAAGAGTCAATCTACAAAATAAAGAATGGATTTGTCTTGTCTTTTTTCTTCTGCATCTTCACCTCTCTTTTTTTTCCCCCAATATTTCTTTTCTTTTTTCTGGTCACGTTGTGCTTTTTATAGATTGAAAATTTTGTTCATCATAGCCTGCAGCAAGTTGCAATGGAAAAAGACGCATTACAATAAGGATTTTATGTGTGTCCAGTTTAGTTGAATTTAATTATGGTTGAAAAAAAAGTTATATTTACAGATTCTTTTTTTATATACATCAAAATATGTAGTTTTTTTTCTTAATTATAATTTTAAATTTAAATTGATTTTTAAACATGCGAGACTTTGACTCACTCGGATCCAAAAATATGTGCAACTTTACGTAGTGAGTCGGATTCAAGTGGTTCATTTTTATAATTCTCCCTTTATTAATTCATCCAAATAGACTCAATTTCAATTTTATTATTTATTTCATAAAGGAATTAATAAAAAAATATTCGTATTTTTTATAGACATAATAGCTCAAAATTAATAATTAAAAATTAATTTATATTTTATAACCGTGACTTCTGTAATCAAATATTATTTTAAAATTTTAATATAAGAAAGAATAAAATTTAAGAATACTAAATTAATTCTCCATGTCAATGAATTTTATAACTATTGAATTAAGAGATTTGATAAGATATTTATACCTCTAAAATTATATTAATTATGATTTTTTTAACATATATTCTTATGTTACTTACTAACTTATAAAAATAAACAAATACTTCATTGTTAGTCAAAACTTAAATACAAGTTTTCAGGGTGTTTTTACTTAAAGCTTTATTTTGATAATCCATCTAATGAGGATACACTTAGGATTAGACCCGCTATTAGGTAAAGATTCATTTATGATAATTTAATATATGATAGTACATAATTTTTTTTTGTCTTTTAAAGTATACTATATTTTCTCTCTTAAAAAAAAAGTATACCATAAAAAAATTGAATAATTTTCATTTAATAAAAAAATTGACTGTTGAAAAAATGTGTTTTAATAGAGTTAGGAAGAAAAATATAGGGAGATTAATTGACATAAGTAATATAGTAATTGATGGATAAATAAAAAAAAGAAGAAGAAGGAAGAAGGGGCACGTGTGGCGCTGGCATGTGGCAACTGCTCCACCTTATTCCTTAACTTAACGAGTAACGAGAAACGGGCAAGGGAAGCAGATAGAGAGAAAGAGAGAGAGAAGTTTTTTATGTGTGCTAAGGCTAATTTATTTCCACTTGTGTCCCCAGCCGAGGTATTCCTTTTTCTCTTGCGCAGTGACTGAGTCAGAGGGTGAGTCACCGCTGGAACCCAACTCGTCCATTGGTTTGGTTAACTACCCACCCACATGGTCTCCGAATCTGAACTCATCCTCCGCCTCCGCGAGTTCCTCCGGAGCTCCGACCTCAACACCACCACCACCGCCACCGTCCGCCGCCAGTTGGAGCACGATTTCGGAATCGATTTGTCCGACCGAAAGTCATTCATCAGGGAACAGGTCGACCTCTTCCTCCAGACCGAACACAACCAAAACGACGACGACGCCGTCAACCCCTCCGATTCCAAGGAAGAAACCGAAGAAGACGACAACGCCGAGGACGAAGAGGAAGATAAACCCAAGCAAGTCAAGAATGGGAACAAGAATAAAGCAGGGTTAGTCTTTTTTCTTCTTTTTTTCACCTTTTACTCATTGATTCCCTTTCGATTAAAAACAAACATTGCGTTTTTTCTTTCAATTTTTTTGATGCTTCGTGTCAGGATACATCGAATTTCATTGACAGTTACTCGCAGCGTAGATTCCCTGCCATTTTGCAATCGATGGCGTCATCGCCGAATGTTATATTTTGGGGTTTTCTATCTTTTCTTTAAAAAAAAATACATTTGATTGTTGTGTGATGACACAGGCACATGGCTTTGTGTTATTTGGAACGATTGGGGTCCACTCCGGGACTATGCTACGTTGTGCTCTATTGGTTTTCTCTATAAAAATTGTGTGCTTTTGAAGATAGTGACGAGGTTACTTGCCTTGCAGGTTTACATGAACCAAAAGTGTTCAGTTTTAGCATTTTTTAATGCTCTTATTCGTTGCTTTGCCTAACAATATAATCTCGTTAAGCATGCTTTCTTCTACGGTAATGCCGATGACAGATCGAATTATAATTTTGTTTGGCCTATCTGCATTTGTGAATATTATAGAAACATTCCATAAACACTAGACAAGTTGCAGTGCAATCAATTTAGCAGTTCAGTGTACATGTTCCATTATTGTGGATTCAGGCTTTGTTTTATCCCCCTATCCCCTCCTTTTTGTAATTGTTGATTTTGAAGTGAATCTTTCTGTCATCTGACTTATTTCTAGGCAGTTGCTTGCTTCAGCAAGAAATTCCCTGGAAAACTTTTGATCACACAATGGAATGTTCCAATCCCTCTTAATATATAGTTAGTCACTTTTACTAATTGTTACTATGGTTGGATCCCTGAAGTGAAATGTTGATACTTACACAATTGCTTTAGCAGGAGAATTGATCCACAGGTTAAGTTAGTACAGCCTTTTTAAGTTAGTACAGCCTCCAAGTCAAGTTATTTCCTTCCCCAACTGCAGATTAACAAAAAGAAAATCATGTAAAACATTATCTCATTACATTTGCACATTGCCTGTCTTCCAATTTATTTTTTGAAGCAAGCATGATCTTATTGTCAGTGTAACTCTATCCAGACCATTGGCCTTGGCTTGTCTTTAGTCCAAAAGTAAAAAAATATACACTTAACTGCAGTACAAGGTTTTTCTTGGACTATTATCTTCAAGCAACTATTAATTTGCTTAGTTCTGGAGCCATGACACTAATCCATTCTCAAAAAATGTTTCTAAAGCACTCATGAAAATTTTCTGTATAGCATGTGTCAATATTCTGATTCTAATTATGATGCTACATGTTAATATATACAAGTACCTATGTTGGAGATATACTGTGAAAAATATCGAGAAATTGGACTTGCAGACAAACTGAAATTAAAACTAAGATGAAAAATTATCATTAAAATTTATAGAAGATAATGCCTATGCATAGACTTATAATCAATTTAAAATTCCTAACAAATCTCATTTACTAACAACCTTATTTGTTGAAATTACATTAACTAACTAAAAACGAAATATAAAAGATAACAATAATGAATCCTATAAAAAATTTATTCAAAATTCAAATAAGGCAAAATCTCATAAATCTAACAACCTAGCTGTAAATATTTTCCATTGGTGATGCCCTTATTAGCTACTGTTTCATCTTGTGTTTCAGATCTAACAAGTTAGGTGATGAAGTAGTAAAGAAAAGAGGTGGTGGTTTTTGCAAATTATGTAGCCTGTCTCCACAACTACAAGAATTCATTGGAGCTCCAGAAATGGCCAGGACTGAGGTATACATTCTTTTTCTTTTTCATCTGTTTTTGATGAAAAAAGGGTAGTTAAGAAGATATATTACTATAGTGCTACTGGTCAAGGTTACCTACAATTTCTTTAAAAGTGTGTATATGATGTAATTCTGTTTCTGGTCTTATAGCATCCATTTATAATGTTGGTCTTAGGTTGTAAAGAGATTATGGGCCTACATTAGGGAGAAAAATTTGCAAGATGCCAACAATAGACGGAATATAATTTGTGATGAGCAATTGCGTGCCATTTTTAATGTCAATTCCATCAACATGTTCCAAATGAATAAAGCATTGTCAAAGCATATCTGGCCATTGGATTCAGATGATGGTATGGTCCTAACCTTACCCTTCCTTATTAGTATTACATTGTTTCCAAATAGGATGCTAAATATTTTTTTTAGATTGTTTATTTTCATTGTATTTTTTAGACCAAACACCTAATCTTCTTTTAAATACCTCTAGGTGCCTTATTATTGTGATTGTCAGGATTCTTAGCACCTTGAAATTGTGAAGTTTCATTTTCGAGAGTTTCTTGTCAAAGTATATTTTTGGGTCCCAATATTAGGCATGATAAAATTATACTACTGCTTTGTGCAGCAGACCCCTTTACTTATGTTTACATTGAGAAAGAACTCCTATGGATTTATAATGTATCCATTGTACTGATTGTTAACGTTTACTTGATGAGACTGCAGACTTTTGCTTCCCTGTTTCATTCTTCTAGTCAATATTTTGTAGATAATTGACAAAAAAAATAATGTTTAAAATTTGTATCTCTTGATATAGTTGTCCAGGTGAAGCCCACACCAAAGGAAAAGCAGAAGAAGCAAGAGAGAGATGATGGTATGAATAATTATTTCAGTTAATGTTCTATATTATTTGTCTACCTGATCACAGTCTCTTCCTTGCCAGTTATAAACTCTTTTTTTCCTGCATTTTCACCTGTTTACATATTTTTATTTATATTTTCAGTATTCATAATATTCCTTTTTAATTTATTGGGAAAAAAAAGCAAGAAATCATTTGTGTATGTATTCATATTGGAATCATTTGAACACACATAACTGGATAAACTTTTTTTGTTTTAGGGAAAATTACAGTATGTGGCCGTAGTTTTAATGTTACTGTTCATATGTATTGACTAGTCAAAGTAATTACTTATAGCATAGTGCATCTATAACCTACCTTTATGACAGATTCGGATGAGCCAAAAAGAAAGGAAAAACGGCAGAAGGGAGGAGGGCAATCAGGTTTTTGTACTCCTCGTCAACTATCCGATGCCCTTGTAAATTTCCTTGGTACTGGAGAAAGTGAGTTATCAAGAACTGATGTCATAAAAAGAATGTGGGATTACATTAAAGGAAACAACCTTCAGGTTTGTCATTGCTCTAAATTGTCATTGGTTCATTGGATGAATATACTCTGCTTTGTCTCTCTGCATTAGTGGTAATGGCCATGTGAAAAGCTTGAAAAATTCCAATTCAATTCAAACTATCAAACATTTTGGTCAAATAAAATAACATCAGCTACACTACAGCCTACGCCAGAGTTATAATATCAGTTTCCGATGGTGCATCTCAAGCAATAAACTATTCTGATTATAACTAGCTTGTGTTGTATGTGGTAATGTGAAAAATCATTCTAAGATGTACAGTTGTTTTCAAATTAGCTGTAACCCAATCATAAAATATCCAACTCCCCACAAGCAATTCCATTGGAACTTTGACTTTTCTGGAAGCCTTTGACTTTTCCATGCCAACCTTTGACTTTAATTCTAATGGTCCTCTGACTGTGAATGCGTTTCTATTCTTATCTGGTTGGTCTCTTTTCTCATTTCTCTTCCAAGTTCCAACTCTCCTTGACACAAAATTGGTGCCATCTGACCTATTATACTTTCTACTCCTCTGTTTGTGTCTTACATAAATACCCTTATTATTAATCAATACATATTTTTCAGTTTTTCAGAGTACATTTTGTCCACCAGCATTAAAATAAATACATTCCCATTGCATATGAAGAAACTGGTAGAATTTCGTAACTTATTCTGTGGGCATACTTAGAGTGAAAATGGAAGGGGTGTTGGGGATAAAGATGAAATTTAGTTGACAATGTACAATTTATGCATCATGTTTACATGAATTGTGAATCTTCACCTAATTTCATCTTCACTCTTTAATTTTTTTTTCTACTACAAGGTAGTGAAGGTAGGTGCTACTCACACCACAGGTTTCATATTAGATTGTCAACCTTCCACAACCATTATCTTATTACCAGCTATGTACAGAAATTATAAGAGACCAAAATATTTAAATTAGTCAAAACAATGTTGTTCAGGTTCTTTCTTTGATCTTTTATTTTATCATTATGATTATTCTTTCTTAACCATAAATGGTACTCATTTTCTTATGATGAATTTCTCAATCATCAACTCTCCCAAAAGCTTATAAGCTGTTGGGTGAAAGCTCATTAATGGCTTCATTATAGTTTTAACGTGCCCCCCATCATGCAAGAGCCCTTTGGGTTTGAGCTCGAAGTGTGGACCATGCTGGCTACCTTTAAGCTGTATTACTGAACTTTGTTTGTCTTTATTCTGTCTAGTTCATGTTAGCTAAAACACCGGTTAAATTTCTGAATGCTTTGTGAAGGATCCTTCTGACAAGAGGAAAATAATATGTGACGAGAAGCTGAAAGAACTCTTTGATGTCGACTCCTTCATTGGCTTCACCGTTACAAAATTGCTCGCTCCTCATTTTATAAAGACAGAGCAGTGAGTTGCTTGCACATGGTTATTCGGTCAAGCATGGGAAGGTTGGGGAATTTTGTTTATCAAGTTAGTTTTATAAGGTTTTTTGTATCCTGTTGGCAGGAACAGGAGGGATAGAAATTAGTAAAATGACAGATTTTCAGTAATTTTACTCGAAGATTTTAATGTTATGTGACCTTTTATTTTGTTTTATATTATCCTGTTTTGCCATCAGGCAGTTGAAAATTTTGTATATTTGATTCCTGATGATGCAAGCACAATGTTGACTTCATATTCTACTGGATCATTTTGCAAAATATAGGAGACAATACTGATATTTGTATGAAGAAAGCAAATGTAATTATAATTCGATCGAGCAAAAATTTAGAATTTGCAGTCTATTTAGGGAAACCTTAATAATTATTATGCCATCAAGTTGAATGAAAAGAAACATCCAAATTGGAGTTTATGACCAAATGGTCAAATCCAATCCTCTTTAAGATTGATTGGTTCTATGGTTCATTGACTTTTATGGACATAACAAGATTTTACTGGTATAACAAGACTCTTTGAATTTCTCTGTTTGCTATTTATTGTTTCATATAGCTATACTTGAATAAACAGGTTCCTGCCCTCAACCCTCCTCTCATGTTCTCTCCAACCCCAAGTTCTCCCGTGCCAGGCGATTTGTTTGGTTTTATTTACTCAACAAGTTGCTCTTTTTGAATCAAACTAATGTAATTTATCCTATAACTTCACGATGATGATGATCGACTCAATTCTTAAATTTTTTTTTTGAGGTTCTCACAAAGGGTTTTAAACCTCTTTTTGCAAATATAAACGTTTCAAATAGTATTTTTGAAAGTAATATCACAAAAATAAAGGTTCTCTTTCTATTCTGAGTGTGAAAAATAATATATAATGTTTTTTTTATCGAAATAATAGATTATTTAAATGGATAATTGATTATTGTTCTTTATAAATTTGGAAATCAACCAAAAATAATTTAATCGGTTATTTTGAGTGATAAATGATTATTCCATAAACTAATGTCTTTTGGAAGAAAAATTGGACTCCGAAATTGATTTTGGGATGTCTATTATTACTTGTACTTCTTTTTTCTTACATAGGTCTCATTTAAAAGTGTTTATGAATAATTTATTTTGTATTTATCTTATTTTATATGTTTTTATGGGAGTATTTGAACAAACTTATAAAAAAATCTTATGAGTAGCTCATAAAATATTTTGAACTTATTTTGACAACTTTTCCAATATAATTTATTACTTATCTTATGCGAGAACTTATCGAGAAATATTCTAATTTAAATGTTGTCACCATTTTTTTTTCTTCATTCTTTTAGTATATAATGGTGACAATACATGGTAATTTAGTTTATAATCTTTTAATTTGAGCTATTTATTTTAATCTAATGGTTATTATCAATAGTTATTATTTTCTTGTAGAACTTTCTTATTTGCAACAACCTTTATATATACAATTATTTAATCATAATTTTATACAATATATAGAATTGATTTTTAATTTTTAAAAATTTATGGTTCTTTATGTTTAATCATGTATTGATTTCTCATATTTTATTATTATTATTATTTTTTTAACTATTGAGGTCAAATTTGTGTCTCCATATTTAATTTAAAAAGGTGTTTAAAAATTATCAATATTTATTGTATCAACTAATGTTGCATTTGATTCTCTAACTTCAAGGTCTTGAGTTTAAATATTGAGTTTGGAATGATAGTTAATTTTAAATATCATTTTTTATTATTTCAAAATTTAAGGGTGAAATCGTCTAGAAAATATGTACAAATAATAAGAATTTTTAAAATTTATGGTTCTTAATATTTAATCATGTATTGATTTCATTTTATTTTTGTTTTTGTTTTTTTACTAGTAAGATCCAGACACTCTATATGTTTATGTTTTATTTAAAAGTGTGTTAAAAAATTGCTAATATTTGTTAAATCAACTGGTGTTGCATCTGATTCTCAAATTTCAAGATTGAATTTAAATCTTAAATTTACAAGGATAATTAATTTTAAAATTTTTTTTTTATTATTTAAAAATTTAAAAATAAAATCGTTCTAAATAAATTATATATGAAGTCAGGTTATCACTTTTATATATATTATAAACTAAACTTATATGACTGGTAACTAGTATTTATTATTATCTTTTTTAATATTATTGTGATGTATTATGTCATTTTTAAAATCTATTTAGTTACTTTTTATATTTTTATTTTATTTTCAATCAATTTTTAATTTTAAATTTTTTAAATGAGATAACATCTCATAAATGTTTAAATAGTACATTTGAACATTTTAAAATTATATAAGTGTTTATGAATATATATCTTCAAATGTAATAATTTATTAAATTTTAAATAATTATAACATAAGATCTTATTAGATAATAGTTTATTGAACAAGATTTTAAGTAAATTATTTATTCAATAAATCCTTGATACATAAGAACTGGTTAAATAAAATTTTAAATAAATTATTTGTCCAATTGAAATTATAAGTTCTATTATTAATTTTTCTTAAATTTTTCCTTTATGAAATTTCCATTCTTTTTTATAATCAAATAAACAATTTAGTAAAATTATATAAATTTTAATTAATTAAAATTCAAGTTGAACCTAAAAGAAACGGTAATAGGTATTTCGATTGATTCATTAATTTCAACATTTACATGTTTTTTTTTCTTCATATTTTCATTTGGTTATAGCACGTTTTTGAAAAATTATGGGAAAAAAAAAATCAAAGTAATTAAGGGTTTGATTTTCATTTGGTTATAGCCGTTTTACCTCAGGTAGAACATGTGGTTTTTAACTGACGTGAATTCCCACAGATGGGTTAACTAATAAAATTTTAATTTAACGTTCTTTAATAAAATATATTAATTACAACTAATTTATATATTAACTAGCCGTCTTAGCTCAGCTGGTAGAGCGCGTGGCTTTTAACCACGTGGTCGTGGGTTCGATTCCCACAGACGGCGTTTTTTGGTCCAGACACCTTTTATAAGAGGCTTGAAAGCCCAATACAAAAAGTAAGGATATGGGCATAGAGGAGGCCCATTACAATACGGCAATACCCACTAGCATATGAGAAAATTCGGGAAAACAATGACATTAACATTTTAATAAAGTTTTTTTTTTTTTTTTTAATTCATATACTCTGAACCCAAATCCGATTTTTTTAATACATATATTATTTGAAGTAACCATATGTTTTTATAAGTGTGCATATTAACTAACGGTTAAGTTTGGTGTAAAAAAACACTAACCGTTAAGTTATATAATATAACAAAGTTTTATATAATTATCCAATTTGATCAACGTATCCATTAAATTATAATATTTTAAAAAATATTCATATAATTTCACTTATTTTATCTTTTAATTTTTATAACTTAAAATAATTTTTTTAATTGTTATACTTGTTTTTTAAATAATTTTTATTTATAATTTAAGATAAATTTTTTTAATCTATGTACTTACATATTTTTAAATATTTTAATTCATGTCATTGATTTTTTAGTGTTATTTTTTTTATTAAATTAATAGGATATTAATTTAATTTTATGTATTTGATGTTAAATTTATTTTACTGAAATTATTCTAAATTATGTTTTTCAACATTTTGTATCTTTTTATATATTTACTTATAATCTTTATTATTAACATATAATTTTTTTACCCTCATAAAATTAAAGACGTCTATAACATTAACATGAGATAAAATGTTACAAAAGAAAAATTAATGATAGAAATTAAAATGACTACAAAACTACAAATATAGAAGTTATAAATATTTATATTAAATTATAAAGATTAATGATGATTGAAAAATATAAGTATAAAAATAATATATATATATATATATATATATATTAAACAATGAAGACTAAAAAATAAAATAAATAAAATTATAGGGACAAAAAATTATTTAAACCAATTATAATTATAAATTATAGCGAGTTAAAGAAAGCAGCCACGTATAACTGGAATCTATTTCATAGCCATATTTGACAATATTATTATATAAAAGCATTTTCACTTAATTTGCAAAGGAATGTGGATTAGATGGTAGGTGATGCATATCCCTAGTTTCTCTCTCTCTCTCTGTCACCTGAAATCTGATTTAGCATCATATCTATCCGGATCTATTTCGCAGGACGAAGAATCTGTCCTATCCTCATGCCTCATGCCTCATGCCTCATGTACCACACCACCAATGGCAACAAAATTAAAAGAACTATTCCACAAAACCTAAACTGCATAATATAATACTTAATCACAGTGTAAAATTTTTTTACACTGACAACTAATCAGATCTTTTAATAGTTTCATGTCAGTTACTTATTTAATAAAATAAAAATAAAATAAAATAATTTAAAAGATTTGATTGGTTATAATGTATAAAAAATTTACACCGACAATGTATTGTTGATTAACTCATAATATATATAGTCATGAAATTATCACTACTATTTTCGTCTTTCTTTTTTTTTTCCCTAAACATGCTAATAAAAATCAAAATAAATATAAAACAATATATTTGAATATAATTTTTGATTTAGTTAAAAATAAAGAAAGATAATTTAAAAATATTTTTAAATTTGTATTTAAAGATGTTCATATTTAAAAAAAAAATTGTTGATAATGAGGAGAGGAGAAAGTGAAGGCAGAAACAACGGCTCCCGTTAATCGTCCTGTGTTGTGTTGATAGGAATATGGATGAAATGAATGCGAAAGGAAAAGGGAAGGGAGGCATCTCATCTCCTTCATTGTTTGTTCCACAACACCAACCAAGCCCCATCCCTCACGAATCCTTATCTCTAACATTGCCTAGCTTCACATATTGTAAATGCTTTCAAATTCACTTTTAATATTTTTATTAATCCTTTTATTCATCACATCATTTTTATTTATTTATATTTTTAAAGCATTAACTGTAATATTTTGTTATAATTATATTATTGGGGTGAATTATATACCAACTTTATTAATAATAAATTTCTATCAAAAAACTTAATACTTTTAATAGAATCTCTTATCTTAATTACGCATTTTTTATCCACAAGATTCAAATATAAAATTTTGTTTAAAAGTATCAAATCTAGTTCCATTTTTCCTAACAACATGTTGCTAGTGTGAATTTTTATTTAATACTTTATTTAGAAAGTAAGAAAAATTCATTTGTTTATACCCTTTTTACAAGATTAAAAAAAATAGTACTAAAAGAGTCTGTTAAATAGTAAACATAAAGTTAATTTAATGTTATTCTTTTTAATTTAAAGCTTTTAATTGATTATT